CCTCCCAATGGGCGGCCAAATACCCAAATTGACTTTCTCGCACAAATATAAAGGTCTCTTTTCATAAATGATCTCATCACTTCAAACCGTCCATCCACCGGCCTTTCACAGTGAATTTTCATGATTTATCATTTTCTAACCGTAAGTTGGCACTCAATTTCTTGGAATCTATTCGATCCGATAAGGTGTTTCCGCAAAAATCACTACGCCAAATGTCCAAACTGTTTGAGACAATCAGGAAGAATCAGGGTTGAGTGTGGGGTAAGCATCGAATGCAATCAGTTTGAGTGGGAACCGCGGTATGACCGGATGACCTATTGCCGATTTGCTGAAGTGTCCCATGCTCTCAGCACAATTCATCGAAGTCTCGCTATGCACATCTGAGCACCGACAAATGCGAAAACAAAACTAATTGGTTCAAGTGGCCCATCTACATTGTTCACACAGATCATCTATGACGTCCCCCCCTCCAGCGCCCCGCACCGCTCCGCGCAAGTACAGATTTACTGAACTACTTACCGGATGACCATCTAATCTTTGTGCCCATTAGAATTCACCTGCTCCATCAACAGGGTTTGGTGGACCATCTGGTCTCCTATCGCCCCCACATAACTCCCGCTCAACCCTGTCCTTCATCCGATGGTTTCACATACCAACAGGCAGCTAAAATGGTTTAACGTGAACCACCCCCGGGGGAACTACTGATGAATCCAGAAAAGGGCTCAACAATGCGCATTGCGCCCTGCTGTGGCTTCTCCGGCTTCGGGTGTGCGCAATCGAGTGAGTGGGTGGTCCAAAAGATATAGCCGCTGTTGAACACTTAGGAAGCCGCCTTTTGAAAGAGTGAACAGCTTGCACTTGACCGAAGTGCTTAAGCAGTATTCCGTGATTGATTGATTGATTGATTGATTGATTCACTGGACGTGCGCACGATGGCCAGTCCGTTCCGAAGCGACAAAGAATTGGCCAGTGATCGAGTGTTCCAGGGTAATAAAACAACAATAACAACAGCAACAACAAAAACAGGCATATTTATCAATAATGTACCCGTTGCAAAGACATGGGTGGAGTGGCTGAACCGCAGGGTGCGGGTTGTGCAGTTAATAATGGAACAGCAATCCGACTCTGCTGGATATTCACGTTTTCACGAAGCCAGCCGGGTGACAAGCGACTGACAAAGATAATGCCCCAAATCCCGATCAAAATTGCTGACACGTGTCAGTTTTATCATTTGGATATCACCTGGATGTGCAGAATGAACTAACTGTAGGTGAACCCCACTTCAGTCTATCTCTACACTAACAGTAGAAATATGGAGACCAGGAAAGCAAAAGGCGAAAAATCCAATAACGAGTTGACAAGTTCCGACCGTTTTTGGTTCTGTTTCTAATGCAACTACAACTAATGCAACAACAACAACAGTATGGAATCAGCACCACGAAGTGAACGTTTTGAATGGGTGAGTGATAGGCGTTCGGTCGGAGAACTGGAAACTAAGTGAGAATAGGATAATTGAAAATTCATTATTAATTGGTAAAGTGGTGTTTGTGGAAGAAACTATACATGTGCAAGAAACATATATCTCTATCCGACGTGTAGTCACCCGAACCAACAACAACTATTGACTGTAGAGACTGCATTAAATAACAGTTTTTTTATTTAAACAATTCAAACCAATTGTGAAATGCTCGTTCACGTTTTATTTTTTTGATGGAATATAAAGTGACAAATAAGTTCCTAACTGTGCGTTTCTATTCTGAAAACTAATGCAGTATTTGTATTAGTCAACGAACGTAATTATATAACGTCACTGATGGGGACTATTGCAATGTTGGGCACAAAATGGTTTTGCCATGATCCCTGTTTCTTTTTCAAGTTAGATACCCCCAGTCGATTGGTTCACAATCAGGACAATAGAATCAATCATAATCAAATTGAATTATGAATAAGTAATAGAAAAGCATAAAGTATTTAGGCCCAAAAACAATACTGTTTGCAGACGACGCCAAAATCTGGAACACGGTAACAGAACCAGAGGGCTCTCTAACACTTCAGGAATCACTCAACGCAGCTTATCAATGTTCTAAGGAGAACGGCATTGAATTTATTGTTTCTAAATGTAAAGTCCTATCCCTAGGCCACAAGAGAAAATTCTTGTATTTCCTCGGGGATCAGCAGCTACCACACACTTCTAGTGAAAAGGACTAAGATATTGTTGTTCAAGAGGATTTAAGCTGCTCCATTAATTGTGCGAAGGCTTTGTCCCCTGCTGTGAAGAATGTCGGCTTACTTCAGGGAGTCTTTGGCCGGTTTGGATCATCACTATTCCCACGTTTGCTATCAGCGTATATTCGACCCTACACAGAGTACGCCACCCAAGCTTGGAGTCCATGGCTTCAGCGTGATCGCATGATGCTTGAGAGTCCACAAAGGATGGCCACCACGATGGTCAAGGGATTGCATTACCTGATATATGAGGAGAGATTACGATCATTGGGACTATATTCTGCTCAGTACCGGTGAACTCGGGGAGACTTGATTTTGATGTATCAAATACTGCAAAACCCAAACCATCCGTGTCGATCGCTGCTCATGTTATTGAATAAAGTACACCTAAGGGGACACCGTTTCAAGCTACTGATTCCAAAGTGTCGACTTGATTGTCGGCTCCAGTCTTTTGCAGTCAGAGTATGCAGTTCTTGGAACGCCCTTTCATCTCTCTGTCGTTCGTGCACTCACTATTGAATCTTTCAAGTAGAGACTCGATGAAACCTTAGCACACCTCACATTCGTGCACCACTAAAAGTAAACGCAAATTCACCGTGGCCTATATTCCCTATTATTTCCTGCCCGCAACACTACGTAACTTCTTTTTCGGCGTGTACCGATTGATCTGTGTAAATATCCCATGGGGACAAGAGAAGCACGAGCTTGTAAGTTATTCCCATAATAAAACTTTGAATTTTGAAGTTCGAATATTTTCCAAGGTTCAGCGGTCACTAAACAGTCAAGCATTTTATACCGTATTCATAACCGATATTTACCTTTGCTTTGAAAAAGAATAAGGTATCGTACCTAACGAACAGTGTGCAATGAATAAAAAACGAGATGATATCTTGTGTATTTGATTTTTCAATCCAAAATTGTCAAACAAAAACTCCCAAAACTTACTTTCTGATTACTATGACTACTAATGCATATAGTAGGCCAGGTTAAGCTGTCCTTAATTAGCTATTTGTGTGTGTTGTCTGTTTCAAGTGCCGAAATGGAGGCGCATTACGACTTGGATGCGGCGACGGCGGCAGTGATTAAGGTCGCCATCAGTGTGTGATTACCGTACCACGCCCATTCGTTATATTCTCGGTTTATTTGCTCAGACTGTTTTATTTCTCACAAATCTACTGGAAATGTGTATATGCTTCACTCATCTACCCACCCTCACCCCCACTCCCACCCAACCGCCTCCACACCCAACCATGCACTCGATTTATCCTGGTCCAAATGTTACAACCAATACTGCTGAACCGAAAACGGATAAAAAAACATGAATTGCAAAATGGATGAAATTGGCCTTAAACTGCTACACACGCATCTTGGCAATGCTGACAAATCCATCCTCGTACCCGTGCGAAATTGCTTCTACTCTATGCGGACAGGCCTACCGCGTGCACTACACAGACCGTCCGCATTTGGAGTTGCCGTTTTGGGACACGAGTATCATGGATGTCAACGAGGCGACAAAGAGCGGTGGTAAGGATGAACAGAATCACAGTCGAATGTCTGCCGGCCAGGGTCAGGTTGCTGCCGGTGGTCTGAGCGCACCCGGTCATCTGTTTCTGCTGACGCATCTCACCGCCGACACCACCTATTACATCCGAGTTAGTGCAGTCAATGGAAAAGGAGAAGGACCACCGTCAGATATCTCAGTGGTAATCGTGCGACCCGGGTGTGAGTCAGGCTATTTGTTTTAGTTGTCTTACTTTGTAACCATGCAAAAAGCTCATGTGTTCGCGTCAGATAAATCGGATTTTGAACAAAATCATTCATTGCCTGAAGAGTACTTAAAACTAAACAAATTTTTATCCCGAATTTTCTCGTGTATCTTATTAATAATGGCCAGAGGTTACAAAATCAAACATAATAGCTCAATTAGTAGTAGTGTGTCATATGTTTACTGATAATTCTACGTCCTCTGATGAACTGTTTATTTGACGTGGGAATCAGCGTGCCACTCAATAACCTGTGAAAATCCATAGGCGCTGCTACCCAACTATATCAGTCATCTGATTCTCGACAACACACACCCACCAAATACAGTGGGATTCGAATCCAGACACCTAAGAATGGCTGATTTGACAAACCAACGGTTTGGTCTATCCAGATTGTCACTTGGCGGCTTACCACATGCTAATAATTATCGATACAGCAATCATCCATCAATGTCGTGGAAAGTGTAGAACAATACTTGTTTGTTTGATTTTTGAATCTTATAAATGATGTTCATGAACTGGTTTATAAATACTTCAATGCTGGATAAACTAAATGAGATTTCTTGATGATGCTGAAAGAAACACAATTGTTGCTCAGTAGTGACTGTAAGACTAAAGTTTCCCGTCCCTCGAAAACGGTATCAAAAGGAATTCGAAACATATTCTGACCTAACTTCTCTGTTTATCAGCATCCGGAACCATGCTGTTTCTTGAAATGGTTTTGGCATTTCTTTGGTGACGTTACCTCCTGATCACCAACGGCCCGGTGTTCATCGAAATTTTACACATCTTTTATCTTACTCATGAACCGGTAGTCATCGGTAGCAGGTAAATATTTAGCACCATATATTGCATTGTGATGCTTGATTGTCCATAACTGAAACGTAAGAAAACTTGCGGGGCAAGATTTGGTAAATATTGTAGAAATATAACTAAAAAATGAGGAAGGAGTACTAGGATAAATGATTGGAGCATTGATAATTCCAATCGATTTGTTTTTGGCACAATAATATGCCACCATTGTGTGTGACAAGATCTAATTACTGCATAGAGCAGAGGACAAATTATTATGAATAGACCCGTGCTCGGTATTCGTCGGTTGGAGCAGCAGGCGGAACAGCTAAACTGTTCATCCGTCTATGCAATAAACCCGTAAATGTAGACCGCTTTCGGACCCAGATAGAGCAAATATTGTTCGATACTGATCATCCGTTAGTTGAGTTTCGTTAAGTAGACAATTGCGTAGTTCATTCTGCAGCTACAGAGAAAACAGTCAATCCAAAACCTGAGGCTTATACAAAAAAACAGATAAAATCAGAAATAAATACACTTTACAGACAGCCATCAACATACAAGTATAATAATGGAGACCAAAATGTATTTACAAAATGAGTGATGTCGCACGAGTTTGATCAACAACTATATATATATATATATTGAAAAGGAGAAGGCGAGCACTGAGTGATAGTATTTATTGTGACGTTTCGATCCCGACTAT